AAAATTCTAACTCAAAACAAACAAACAAAAAAAACCCACAAAATACCCCAACAGTAAATTACGCTCTTTCCCTTTCTCCAACTCTCTCTCTCTCTCTCTCTCTCACACACACACACACACACACACACACCCAGACTCATTAGCTAACTTAGTGGAAAAGACACTTTGATTCCTTCTTACATGTGAATTTAGCTCATAGAACTAGTGAGGGAATATCACTATCATGGGAGGACATGGAAAACACACAGGACTCTGAGCCACTCCTAGTTTTACCCCTCATTAGCCTGTAACTTGGCTTTTCTGCTCCATCATCTATACAAGAAGAAGAGCAGTGACTAGCACCCACAAGTCTCCCTGGATAGACTTAGCAGGCAAGGTAACCCACCATTTAAGAGCACAGGTTTAACCTCAGGCTGAATTATGATTCAGATAGTGGCCTGGTCATTTCACTAGCTGTGTGACCTTAGCATCAATGTGACTGGTGCATAGTAAGTGTTAAATGATCAGCCCCTGTCATTTCTCCTTTAAAAATTGTAAAGCACTCCACCAATATTCACTTCTATTATCTAAAGATGCACATAAAACAAGATACCCAGTAATAGAATATTAATCAAATGCCGTCTCAGTGTCCAGTATCATCTCCTTCCTTATCACCAAAGCCAGCCTGCCCTCCTCAGATAGGACACTCGCATCTCTCACATGCTTACAGAGCCGAATGGCCAGCCATAACTCCATGCCACAGTCTTTGAAGACTTAGCCAGCTGTATCAGTTAACAACCTCACTAAAGGTTATCCATCAGAAAGAAGGGAAGCAAGTCCTAATTATTCTTGTCAGAGAAGTCATTAGATGCGTACCATGGCTTCTATACAGTCTGTCTGGTATTTATGGAAACAGCACACACCACAGGAAAATGTTGCCAAAGCAGATGAGTATTTAACCTAAGTATTCAATAGGCTACTAATCCATTTCAAAGGTAAGTAATCTACCTCCAGAGAATCTTTCTGGCTCACTACAGTTCTGACGTTTGCTCAAGCTGTAAAATTTTTATTTGGGTTCCATAGTTACTTCAATAAATCAAACTTGCCTTTTCTCCCCCTCCTGTTACATAGTAAAACCATGTGGAATATAGTTCCCAGTCTGAGTGATTTAACCTCATTCCTATTTAATTTGTCAGAAGCAAGCATCACTGATTTTTTTAACCCTCTGGTTGAAAGTCTAGGGCCTCCTTTCTAAATGAGAATACTATCCTTGGGATATTGGATTTCATTATTGGCTAGTTTCTGTTTAATCTTGGAGAAATCTCTGCAAAAGGAAACTATGTTATTTTCTTTCCAGGAATTTAATATAATTGCTCCATACTCTTTAGAGTTTGACTTGGTTCAATTTCTCATGTTTATAGGCACTAACAGATACCAATATGTGAATAAAATGCACTATCTAACTTCTAAAAAATAACACCTAGGATCTGATATAAAGATGTGCGATGCTGTTGGACAGACAAATGAAAACTGCATGATGTGGCTTTATCCCTCTTGATTAGTATATCCCAGACCAACATTTGAAGATGTCCACCATATCTTGTTTTAAAAGATTTTCTGTGCCTACAAAATACTTATATAAAATGACTGGAAGATTTTTACAGGAAATTTCTTAAATAATTTATCATGAGAATGAGTCATGTAGAAGCAACAAGGCTAAATTAACATACCCTTCATATGTAATGGAAATCCAGTCTTTTCCCTGGGAACTCATCTAATGCTCTCTTCTATAATTTTTGGGAGAATACAGTAAAAGCATTTAATACATTAATGATATTAGCAAAACAAGGACTTATGTAAGAGGCTTTACTTGGGTCATTTTAAGCATTACAGAATTACAAGATAAAGGGGTGTGGGCTTCTGGAGATTACTAAAATGTTGATATAGAAATTCCTTGTGCAGAGAGAAGGGAGATAAAACATATTATTCTAAGCCAGAAAGTCTATACTGTGAACCAATCTCTTTACAGAAATAAGTATTTTAAATCTCAGAAATGGGAAATGATCATGGAACCCCCACTTGTGACCTATCAAAGTCAGGTTACGATCAAGTTTTATTTCATGTTAATAATAACATTACCCAAAGTATATTTATCTTATCATTAATTTTCTAGCAGCTTGGCCAAAATGTTTATCTAAAAGTATACTACAAAAAATTAACTTCAGGCTAGGTTTGTTGTGAACTGAAGTATTTTCCTCCAATCTTGATATTTAAATAGTTAAAAATAATAAAATAATAGCATGTTTCCTGATCATCATCTCCCCATTGCTCCTCCCTTCTAAGCACCCCGGCCTCCAGCAATCACCACCACTCTCTACTTCTATGAGATCAACTTTTTTCGATTCCACATGTGAGTGAAATCATGGTATTTGTCTTTCTGTGCATGGTTTTATTTTATTTAACATAGTGTCTTTTGGGTTCATCCAGAGTTATAGTTAAATTGGAGGAATAAATTTCAGACCTATTTTATAGCAAGATAATTATATTTAGTGACTATCTATCTATCTATCTATAGACAGGGTCTTACTCTGCTGCCCAGGCTACAGTACAGTGGTACGATCTTGGCTTACTGCAACATCTACCTCCTAGGCTCAAGCGATTCTCCAGCCTCAGTATCCCAAGCAGCTGGACTACAGGCACACACCACCATGTCCTGCTAATTTTTGTAATTTTCTGTAGAGCTATGATTTCGCCATGTTGCCCAGGCTGGTCTCAAACTCCTGGGCTCAAGCCATCCCCCTACTTTGGCTTCCCAAAGTGCCGAGGTTACATGCATGAGCCAGATGCCCAGCTACAATATATTCTTGAAAAACAAACAGTGGCTGTTACGTGCTCTCACCAAAAAAATGACGTAATGCATTTGTTAATTCGCTAGATTTAACCAGTCCACAATGTATACATACTTCAAAATCATGCTGTACATAATAAAGCATACTACGATATCTATCAATTAAAAAAATTATAGCATGTAACAAAAGCCCTTATCTTTTTAAGCATTTTGGAAATCTCACTGTAAAGACTGATTTATTGTTTTTCTTTTTTCTGACAGTGTCTGATTTTCTTCCCAGACATTAACTAAAAGTACTAAGGTTTATAATGGTGTCATTGGAGAGTCCATTAAAATAGGCTTTCCATGATTTCTGGTAGAGTTAACCTGTGTCAGCTCCTATCCTCGGCAAGGCTAGCAGAAGGCACTGCTGGGCTGAATAGAATCAGAAAGCAAGTGTAAGTTTTCAAAACAGGTGCTACTGTTCACATAACCATTAAACATTCTGCTTGTGCATAGCTCCTAGAAGAACGGGTACTTCCTCATTTTAATTTTTAACACAAATCTCTGTATTCCACAAAAACTATTCCTGGAAGAATTTCCAGAATAATATATAATCTGTGAGTTGTGTCTCTTAGTATGACACCAAAGCTCAGTCTCCAGTATTTGGAGACCTAATAGCAGAAGAAAGATTCACAGGCTGTACTTGGAAGTTACAGAAGTGATTAGCTTAGCAGTTGGCCTCGCCTCTTTTTCAAGAGTGGCACAGACAGTGAAGTAAAACAAAGCTAGAGGGGCTCACTCCGTGGTGCCTAAGAATGCCCGCTGCCAAACTTAAAGGATAAGGTAAAACTGCACATTCCAGAATCAAAGAGAGTTAAAGATGAATGAGATCCTCAAGATCAGCCAGCTCAGGCATCATCAATATTCACTGTGTTTAAGAATCACTTGGGATGCTGGTGAAAGCTGCACCTTCCTAGTCCCATCCACTGAGATTCTGACTCAACAGCAGGAGCAGCACTGGTACCAGCAGTGATATATGACATTTCTAAAGCACTTGCTTTGTGCCAGATACTGTGCTTTGTTTTTTTAAAATGTCACCTTATTTCATTCTCAAAACAATCTTATTCGATAGGTACTACTATTGCCCCCATCTTACAGACAAGGAAATCAAGGTAGAGTGACTGAGGCATCTATCTGCTCAAGGACATTCTGCTAGGAGGCAGAAGAATAAGGATTCAAACCCAGGCTTGTTTCAGAGTTTGAACTCTTAATCATCACCCTGAATTACCCAGCAACAGGGTAAGGGTGAGGCCCAGGGCATTAAGAAAATGTCATAAGTCCAGCCAATCTTTTCTGCTTGGAGAAACTGAAACCAGGAGAAGTGCAGTCTCTTATCCAAGAAAAAAATCCTTCAGTGCACTTGCAGAAAGAAATCCACCCCTGGATGACACCAACTATTCCTGAATATTCCTCAACATATGTTCCTCTAGGGAGGAAAAGGACAGAATGCATTATTAAAAGCTTTCTTGTTGGTTCCTGCTGCGTTACCGTGACCAAGGCGCTGTTACAGGGCAGTTTCTCTCCTTTTCTGTCCAACTCACCATTCACTCAGAAAATATGACACATTCTGGTCAGCATAAGGGACCCCCAATCATGACGATTCTTAAAAGGGAAAGCAGGAGGGAGAGATGCTATCATAATGGGAAGGTGGTAATTGGACTGAGGGAGATAAGTTTCATATAACCTGAAGGAAAAAAAGGATGTGATTCTGATATATCTCCCAACTGTGGTCTTTCTCCTCCTAACCTGACCATTCTGAAATCCAGTATATATCAAAGTATTATCATTATGATTGCTTTAACATATGCAAGTAGGCAGACTACCCAGCATAATCAGATCTACCCCACAATGGAATTACTCACATACATTCTCTTAAAAGGTTACAAATATACTAACAGACTTTAATGCAGAATGAGTCCAAAATGTCACAAATTTATGGAAATTTGTCCCTTTTTGATGTTAAACCATCAGAGTAATTTAGGGAGACCATGAGCAAGAATAACAACCATTGTTTGGAATGAAAGATGAGCTAGCATGACCACAACACAGAGGCATTTTCAGATAACAAGTGCAGGGGATCAGAATGTGTTCCTGTCCCAGTGACGCACACTGGTGGCCACGTCAAACCAACCTTCATCACTTCCACCTGCAGGTCCTCGTTGAGTGAAGGCGTCACTTTCACGGCATTCAGGATCTGATTAAGCAGCTGCTTCTCATCAGAGTCTGTTTCCATGGATACAAACCTCTCTTCCGACAGAAGCTTCTGTAAAGAGGCACAAGGCAGTGATCACAGATAGGCTCTTCCCTGCTTCCTTATTCGGTTGTATCTTATTATGGATTGATGATCAGTTTTCTTACTGGGGGGGGGGGTGCGTGTAGCTGGAGGCTATTAGGAAAGAACTCATGCTATGTGCCATTAAAAAGAAAAATTCAGCTGGGTTCGGTGGCTCACGTCTGTAATTCCAGCACTCTGGGAGGCCGAGGTGGGTGGATCATGATGTCAGGAGTTCGAGATCATCCTGGCCAACATGATAAAACCCCATCTCTACTAAAAACACACAAATTAGCTGCGGGTGGTGGTGGGTGCCTGTAATCTCAGCTACTTGGGAGGCTGAGGCAGAATTGCTTGAACCCGGGCCAGGGCGAGGGGCGTGGAGGTTGCAGTGAGCCCAGATCGTGCTACTGCACTCTAGCCTGGGTGACAGAGCAAGACTCTGTCTCAAAAAAAAAAAAAATAAAACAAAATAAAAAATAATGCAAATGGTTTTTGGCAAAGATCTTTTCCTGCTATTGGATTATTCTAAATTTCATCAAATAAAACTCTAACATGCTGGCCATATAGGGTATTTAGGTGGTGGGGCTGAAGAATGCTCCTGCTAAGAGGAATCAAGCCCTGCCCAAAAGTCACACACACACACACATACACTTTCTAAATGTGGCTTCATCACAGGAAAGAAGGTCTTGTAGACAACAAGTTCATTTTTCAGGTTTTCATCTTTTACTTTCTAATGTGAGCTGTCATTTATCCAGGAATTATTTAGAAATCCAGAAATCTTAACGTATTTCCCTATCAGAAAATGCATCCTAAAAACCTAAACAAGAAGACATTCATTTTCATGAGGACTCTCAGGAGTCCACCTCACAGGATAGGCTTTTTCTGTTTCTCTTTCTCATTTTCATAAAATTCTTTTTCAGATTGTATCAAAGCCCACGTGCCCACAACTTCTACTCCCTCATCTTCCCCCAGAGACACACAGATTAAGCTTCTAAAATATCTGAAACCAGCTATCAAGTCCACCCAAATCTTGTCTTCTCCACACTAAACCTCTTCATGCTCCTCCAAATGTTCTCTGCCAAATAAGGTTTCACTTGTGTTCTTCTGCTTAGAATGTGGCCTCAAGAGTGGTCGATATTAACAAGTGATTCCTAACTTGGATCACATTCTCAGGTCAAATGAGCTTAGTTGGTTGTCACAGCACATTCTATGCTGACTCACCTTGAAACCCCTAATTCTCATTCACAAGGACAGTAATTAAGCTGTTTTCATGCATGATGTCTTGGTGCAATTGATTTCTGAGACCCCAGTTAGACCTTAATGTTTTTCCCTATTCAGTTTGTTCTTTTCCAAAGTGGCTTCGAGTTGCAGCCTGTGAAGAACTTTGAGAATTCTGATTCATCCAGTGTAATGACTCCCTCTTTTACCTTCATGCCAATGAAGATTTTTAAAATATATTTCAAACCTTTTTATTTAAGCCTCCCTGAAATTTTGCCTATATTCTTTCAAAAGGATTTTTTTTTCAAAATCATGTGATATACCCAGGAAAGCCCAGAATTAGAGTTTACATACAATTTATTTTTTACTTAAAGTGATAAAAACTGAGAAGTTCTAAAAATGTGCCTAAAGTTAGGAGGCAGCAGGGGGTGGTAAAAGGAAGACTCACAGCCCACCAAGTTGCTTAAGTTAATACGATTTAGTAAGCCCTTGAAAACATGGCACTGCAATTTAGAATATTCCAGGGTTAAAGAAAAAAAAAAAAGAGAGGGAGAAGCTAAATGGAAAATCTACACAATACTAGACAAAAAGGAACAAAAGCGGCAGATCAGAACAAATTCTCATCCATGTTTATGGTTGGCCCAATGACCCTGGAGAAAAGCAAAAGCTTTTAATAACATTATTGATAATGTTTAAAAGATTCAAATGCTGCTGTGTATTAAAATATACATTATCTAATTCCAATCTGCTAGGCGAAAAAGAGCTGTTTCTATTTCATAAGTTTTATCTCTTAAAAAGTATTAGGAACCTTTCTGAACTCAAAAAGCTAACTATGAAGTAGTTCATACCGACATGAAAAGACATCTGACAGATGCCCCCGTGGTTTATCCATGACCACACTAAACAAACCCATGCTGGTTTCAACTTCACAGCGCTTGTCTCTTAGAGGTCAACCGCTTTAAAAAGTCTGTGTGTTTACATAGTCATCACCTTTTGATTGCCAGAATTAGACCCATTATGTTTGGTGTAAAACACAAACCCAAAAAATGTATTCAAGCAAATCTGACTTTTCTTACTCAATCAAATTTCTTTTTTCTTCCTAATCTTGCTTTGGAAATAAAAGATAGTTATCCACTCATCAATCTAATCGTGGAATAAAAAACAAAACAAAATCTTTCCAGTTTACCATCAATTTTTATTATATAGAACCTTAGATGCTGAATGTATAAAGGATTTGAATTGGTATGAACAAAATCCTTATTTGTGTGGGCTTAGCTAGGTACCTATGAATTAGTGTCTGATCACAAAGGTTCAATGAAATAATGCTGTATACAGAGAAATTCTGTTGCCTATACGAAAATCCTATTATTTTCTATTGTTATTTCCTAGTCCAATCAAATTTCTGAGTCTTTAAACAGCCAGTATTTAAAATGTTAGCTATTTGCCAAAGTGGTCTGTCAATTTCTATTATCCCATTGCATTCAGTCAAAGTCATACCTGCATCCCTGCCAAAGCATGTTGGGCCAGTTTCACATTCTTGGATTCCAAAGCCAACTGGAGAGGCAGTAGGCATTTCTCCCTGGCAAACAGAAAAATAAGGACAACATGTGAGCTCAGCAAAGCTGGCACTCAAGTGATATAAGCCTTATGTACATCCACCCCCAAATGACACTACACACATACACAAAAATTATAACCAATAATAAAAATGCACATGGGCTTAAGAGAAAACACAGCAAATAAGCTGTGCAGAAATGGCCCATCAACCCCTTGCCTTCTTGGTATGGCTACAGGAAGAGCAAACACAATGACCTTCACTAATTAGTACCTGGTACACTCATTAGCACACACTGGGACCCCAGCCAGTCTGTGAATCTGCTTTGTTCTTTCCCAAATTAACAGCAGTGCTCACACCCAGCACACCTTCGGTGAACAACTCTAGGAAGCACCATTAAATAGATTTCTATGTCTTGCTTCTACCTCTTCCTTACCTGGAAATTATATGCATCACCATCAGCATTCTGTCTCATCAGTATACACCAAAATTCTATTAGTTTGTCAATTCCTCCCCAACTCGAAGTATTCAACAATAATTTGTAAATTTAACATTTGCTTTACAGTCTCCATCAAGAAGTAGATCTTGTGACAGGTTCTTAATAAGCATGTTTCCAAGACAGAAATACAAATGAACCATCAATAGCATTGGCTGATGACAGGTGCCTGGATGCAACATTATCTAGTGTCATGGGAGAGGCAAAAAAAAAAAAAAAAAAGAAACCCACCCAAAACCCAAAACCCAAAACAAACAAAAAACCATGGAGAGCTACTTGGATATTTTAAAGCTTAAAAAAACAAAAACAAAACAAACAAAAAAACAACAGAGCTTTGAAATAGGAATAAACCAAAAGAGTTACAAAGACAAAAATATCTGTTAGAAGCATCTGCTCTAAATAATTAAACAACAGACCAACAATTTTAATCAACCCATTATTTCCCTATGGTGTCACTAGCACAAAAATAAAATGTGACTTCATTTTACCAGGTTTCTCTGCCCCCACTTAAACCAGAGCAGCCCTATTCCTATCTGTTTTATATTTTCAGCATAAACTGAAAGATACATTGACTTTAGAGTGTGAAAGCTACCGCATTAGACTACAGGATTTCATCGTTGGAGAAATAAGCGTTACTGTCATAGAACACAATGAAACACAAATTACAACTCTGACTTCTCCCTGTCCACTCTGCAGCTCTGCTGCTTTTCCATAAAATTCTTCTATCAACAGCTCCACAACCAATGAAGTGAGACCCACACATTCTTTAATATACCAGCCACACAGACTACAAAAACAGACTATCAGGAAAAATATTTGCCTTCCTAATCCTCACCTTTCCCCTCATCAACCCAATGTTAACAATATTCATTTTTATGGTGACAACACTACAGCCATTTTTCATTAGATTCATCCTTTGACAGATGGATAAATTACCCAGCTGTGTTACATCCAGTTGGGTGGCTGTAACTTTGTCACTGTTATAACTGTGACAAGCTGACAATAAGATAAGGCAAACACTCTGGTGCAGTCAATTAGTGCAGGAATAGCTGATTTTTTTTTTCTAATTTTGTTTCTTCTGTTCAATGATAACCAGTTTAAGAGCTTAGAAAAATTAAATGGAGGCACGAAGGTAGAGTGGGAAGTGGAAACCATGGGCAGATGGTATGCTAACAGAAGCAGCACAGAACTTCATCTGTAAACCCTTGGAATGATCAAATTTCCACCAGGATTAATCCACTGTGAAATAACGTTCAACTTGGATTTGGAGTCATATTGGCCAATGAAAGGGCATAATAGAAGGAAAAAAGCATGGAGGTCAAAAAGTCTTACAGCCTAATAGCCCAGGGAAGAGAAAATCTATCCAGTAGCTAAGGGCTAAAAATGTATAAGTATTTACACATTATTCATTGGGTACCCAATGAGATTGGATGCCATGTCCAGCAACAACAAGGACCCTTTTGGAAATGCTCAACCTGTTGACTCTGGAAAGCAGCAATATATTCACCTATCCATATTACTCTGCCATTTGCAGTATTATATTGAAATCCTTATTCCACTTTCTCACCTGCTTATACATTCACATGCGTGATACCATTGACCTGAGCCAGGTTGCTGACAAATGCCAGGATCTCCAGATTGCACCACCACCAGGGGACATCACTGCACTGTTCCCACGCAAGCCATGGTCACCAGGCAGGACTGGTAGAGGAAGGTGGTTCAACTAGGTTTTGTCTGAGTTGACAGATATGGGTGTTTAGTAGAAAGAACATGGGCTGTGGAATCACACAGATGTGAATTCAAATGCTAAGCATTGATAAGTTTTGCAGTCTCAATTGGGATACTAAATTCTGTGGGTCTTAGCTCCCTTATCCATAAAATGGGCATTTTAAGACCAATCCTGCAGAGTTGGAGTATAATATATAGTTAACATGTAGATGATACATATATCAGAGATTGTCAAACTGTTTTGGTAAAGAACCCCATAATAAATATTTTAGACCAGGCATTCCAAATGGTCTCTGTCCTAACCAACTCTGCTAAAGCACAAAAGCAGTAACAGACAATTAGTAAACCAATAAGTATGATTATGTGCTAATAAAACTTTATATACAAAAACAGGCAAAAAGCCAGACTTGGCCTACAGGCTGTGGTTTGCCCAGCATTGATATAGACAAAGTGCCCAGCACAGACCATGATGATCTTCAGCATGGGACATGCAAATCAAATCTTTTTATGTATCCAGAAAGATTTTGCACAGGACAGCAGCTAACTGTCCCGGGAAGGTCATAGCAGAGGTGAGCACAGCATCAAGATCTTCCTTATAAAATAAATGCTTTGGGGAAATATCACTACAGACAAAGATTTCATCTGGATATTAAACCAAGGCACTCCATCATTCAACCATCCATCCAATCATCCATTCAAACAACATTTGAGTGCCTCCTGTGTGCCAGGCAGCACGCTGAGACTTAGGGAAGGGTCAGCAAGGACCAAGTTCACAACAGGCACCTGCTTTCATTAGTATTCATGGGACAGAGAGAGAAAAAAGAAAATTAGCACTTACTATTTCTCTCATCTTAACTGTCACTACAACCTTCTTACCCTTATTCTAAATTTTAGAAAACTGAGGTTCGGAAAGGTTTTGTAGCCTGTCCAAGGCCACACAGTTAATACGTGTTGGAAACAACTCAAACTCAAATTCATCTGATTCCCAAGAACAAGTTCCTTCCAACCTCCTTTGGTCTCATAAGATCAGAGAAAAGCTAGAATAGATGTGTTCCTTAACTCATTTTAGTTCTTACACACACACATACACACATATACACAATCTGGCAAAGGACCCTCTTCCCAGGGGAGGGTGCCTATCATTTCAGGGAATCCACGCGTCCCCAAACCTCAACTCTACATGGATCCCAAGTTAGGAATCCTTGCCTTTGGGGGAAAAGAACTCTGTTCAACATGCAAGGTCTGTATCAGGTAAGAGGGCAGTGTAACCTGGCTGGGGTTCTGCTAGGACGGGCTTGGAAGAGATGCTACACTGAGCCCTGGGTAGCTCTGCATGTGTGTGTGTTTGCGTGCACATAGGTATATGCATATATATGTAGGTGTAGGTTACTACAAACATTTTATATTGAAATGAGGAACAGTGTTTAAGAAAATGTCTACAATGTCAATAGTGCTTTTCATTGCAAAGTAGCTGCTTCTTACTGTATCTTCAACGACAGCATTTGCTAAAATAGATATTTAAAATGAAATGCTTAACAACAGGTTTTTTTTTTTTTTTTTGCTAGTAACTACTAGTAAGGAAAAAAGTGTACCCACTAGTCTAATGCTCTTAAACAGGTAATAAAAATAAACATGAGGCTGGGTGGAGTGGCTCACGCCTGTAATCCAGCACTTTAGGAGGCTGAGCCAGGTGGGTCACAAGGTCAGGAGTTTGAGACCAGCCTGACCAACATGGTGAAACCCTGTCTCTACTAAAAACACAAAAATTGGCTGGGTGTGGTGTCACGTGCCTGTAATCCCAGCTACTTAGGAGGCTGAGGCAGGAGAATCACTTGAACATGGGAGGTGGAGGTTGCAGTGAGCTGAGATCAAGCCACGGCACTCCAGCTTGGGCAATGGAGTGAGACTCCATCTCAAAAGTAAATAAATGTGAGTGAGAACGATTTACTGTAGTAGTAACACACAATTGATAGGACAATAAGAATCTGTATCGAAGGCCTCTCATCCCCTCAGACCTAGCAGCCCCCTAGAGTATCACAGGCCTCAGATCCTGACTTCAGTTGGAAATGAACCCATGTGCAAAAGAAGGAAATTCATGGGGCGTGACTAATTTTGCTGCTTCCTCTGTGATATCCTAAGAACACTCCTACTTTCATTTTTTTCTAAAAGTGATTTTAATGAAAGAGAAAACAGGCCTGCTAATTGGGTCTCAGGATGAAATTTATAATGAATAAATATTATAATGAAATTTATAATTTGTAATGAAAATGCAACATGACACACACTGTATTGGAATAAATCCCCTTTGCACACACTGTATTGGAATAAATCATCTTTTGATCTTTCTAGATGCTGCCTCATCGGGAAAAGGGAATAGCAAAAACCAGCATTTGATTACATTAAGTGATTATTTTTTATGCACGGGCACATGAAAATTTATTCTTGCTTAATTAAAGGCAGTGTCCCCAGGTTCCGTGTCCTGACATGCCATTATTTCTTAAAGAAGAATTAGCAGTGCTGCACATGCATGCGGAAGGCATCATCTGCACTGTGATACTACATCTGGTCATGTCAGTGAGACTCAACCTACTTTTTTAACTGCACTGTCATAGTTAATAGACCAGCTTTATTATGCTGACAGGTAACAGTGGACAGAGGGAAATTAAAACAGGTGAACAACGGAAGAGTTAGGATTTACCAATAATTATCTTTCAATACAAGCACAAACGTGAACTTTTGAAAAAAATATTTCCATAAGTTATTAGGGTACAGGTGGTATGTGGTTACATGAGCAAGTTCT